TTGCGATAAATGCAAAACACCCAAGTCAGTTTTCCCACCGTATTACACTATCCTTTGATGTGTATACATGCCATGTGAAGATAATAATATGATAATTGTATGAATGACTATGCATTTTGACTAGCAGTGGTCATGTTGTATTATATTGTTGCGTATCATGCATTCATGGCATATGTTAGGGAGTTGGCCCAATGATGTTAGAAATTTGGTCTAGTGATGATTATTAGGATATTAGTCTAGTGACGACCTCAATTCCATGGTGTGGATTGAGTGCATTTTTGTGAAGTGCTCCGGTTCCAAGCGGGAATCGGTCCTATGGTGGGGATCTTTGGAGAAAGATGACTTGGTCATCAATGAAGTTTTAGTCCACATGAATGATTCAATGATGTTGTATTGCATTATTTGTGACATTGCATAATAATTGATTAAGTGATGTTGATGATGTTGTGATCTTAGTGGTGTTTGATGATAGATGTTAATGTGATGATATAATGATATAATTCATGTGTATTGGTGATGTGAAAGTGTGAGTATAATATATGAAACATGGTGATATGTAGAGTCCATGATAATTTTTTGTTGTACTACTATATCTATTCCATATACCTTTTATAATAATTTGTGATTACCCATCCTGTTTTCTTGGAAATATTGCCTCTATACGTGGGTAACTTGCAAGTAATCAGGAATAGTCTGTTGAAGCTTAGAGGACAGCTTCAGAGTATGTTATTTATTTTCCCGTTAAATAAAGTGGGTCTTGCTCTGATATGTAACATCGTGGTTGAGATCATTTAATTGGAATAATTATGTTCTTTTAGTTATCTTGAGATTTTAAATACCTTTCATGATATTTGAGTTATTTTAATTATGAATTATGAACGATGAATTATGATGAAAGCTTCTATGAAGTATTTTAATAAAAGTGTTTTAAAACTATGAATTCCGCTGCGAGTAGTTGAAGTATCATTGTGGTTATTAATGAAGTATCTGTTATAATTAATTTTGAAAACCCGTGTTACGGATCAGGATATTTTATATGATGTTTTATATGAAGGCGTGGCACCCTTGTTGGTGGTTTTATTTGAATTATTTTCGTAAATATATGCGAATTATATGAGGGTTTAGAAGGGTCTTATATACCAACTCACCTTCATTGTCGACCACATCATCTGATGTAATCACACATTTTTGCAACCTTGAAGGCACACGTCTTGTTCTTTGAGGTTTGCTTGGGCTTGCTTCACATCTGACTTCTTCTTGTCGAACTTCTACTTTGACTTCACTTTTTGGTTCTTCATATAAGATTCTCACTAAATCCTTCTTTACATTTTCAGTTCAATCCCATTACTTAAGCTCATCTATGATCACGTCCCTGCTAATCACTACTTGCTTATTCACTGGGTCGAACAACTTGTATCCTCCAGTTAAATGATATCCTATTAGGATCATTTGACTCGACTTGTCATCAAGTTTTCTTCTCAATTTATATGGCACGTGTCTATGTGCTATAAATCAAAATATATTTAGATGACTTAAGTTAGGCTTGACACTAGACCAACATTCTTCTAGCGTGATTCCTTCTAGCTTTTTCGTTGGACATCTGTTCAAAATGTATGTTACTGTCGACACAACTTCATCCCATAATTCTTTGGGTAAATGCTTGCCTTTCAACACACTTCTCACCATATTCATGATGGTTCTATTCTTCCTTTTTGAAGTTCCATTATGCTGTGGAGTGTAGGGTGGAACCACCTCATGCACAATCCCTTCTTTTTCACATCGTATATCTAAGTCTTTTGACACATATTCTCCACCATCATCAGTTCTCAAAATCTTAAGCTTTCAACCACTTTATCTTTCGACCATAGATTTAAACTTAGCAAATACCTCAATCACTTCACTTTTCTTCTTGATCAGGTAAGTCCATATTTTTCGACTAAAATCATCTATGAATGTGACAAAGTACTTGTTACCTCCAATCACATCCACCCGAATAGAACCACATACATCAGAGTATATGACTTCAAGGACTGACTTCGACGTGCTTCATGCATTCTTGCATAAGTTATTCTCGTACTGCTTTGCATGCACACATTCCTCACACACTTTGTTCAGAATGTCGATTTTTGGTAATATTGAAACCATATTTCTCCTTTTCAAATCTCTGATGTATTTGAAGTTGAGATGTTCAAGTCGATAATGTCATATCCACTCATCCCTACTAGTTGCAGTCGTAAGGAACTTGTGCTCCACCATATTAAATTCAATATTGAAGGTTCTATTCTGAGACATAAGAGCCTTCAAGATTAACCTTCCTCTCGAGTCAAGAACTATCATCAATTTGTCTTCAATCGACACCTTGTAGTTCTTTTTGACCAACTATCCTATGCTGAAAAAATTACTTTTCATGCATGGTATGTACAATACATTGAAAATTACTGACATTTTTCCATCTTTCCCCATTATTAGAACATCACCAATACCTTTAGCTGCTAGAGTATTGTCCAATAAATTTTTTACCATGTTCTTCATTGATGGTTTTATGTTGGAAAACCAATCTTTCATTCCAGACATGTGTGATGAAAATAGTAAGTCCAAGTACCTTTGGTCCTTGAATCTCTCTTCATCTCTTCTTTTGACCATCGACATCATCGCTTCTTCTTCTTCATGTTTTGAAAACTTTACATCACTTTCTTGATTCTTTTGTTTTTCTGGACAATCACTAGAATAATGATCATACTTCTGACAATTGAAACGTTAAATGTGACTCTTGTTAGGTTTTCGACCACCACCTCTTCATTTACCTGTAGCACCATCTCTTTGACTGCTTTGGTATGATAATCTTCTATAGTTCGACACATTTCCTTTTTGCTAGTTTCCTCGATCTGTCTAATTATTGTAGCCTCCTCCACCTTTGTTGTCGAACCACTTTCCTCTGCCTTTCTTTTCTCTTGTTGATTGTGCTTACATAGCCACATCACTCTTCGACTTGCCTGCAACCCTTTCAACCATTCTTTGTTCATGAGATTCAAGCGTCCCTTGAAGCTCTTCCTTTGTCAATGTTGACAAGTCTTTCAACTCTTATATGGCTACCACCAAATGGTCGAACTTTAGAGCCAATGACCTCAAGATCTTTGCAATAACTGATCTTGATGTCAACACTTCTCCATATACCTTGATTTGATTCACCAGTTTCGTAACTCTAGTAAAGAAATCAATTATGCTTTCACTTTCGTCCATCTGAAGCAATTCATATGTTCTTTTGTGAGTTTGTAACCTCACCTCTTTCACCTTTTATGCGCCTCCAAATGATTTTTCTAGAATTTTTCAAGCTTCTTTCGCTGATTCAACATCATTCAGCTTCTCAAAATTGTTTGGATCAACATATTGATGAATTATAAAGAGAGCTTTATAACTCTTCTTCTTGAATTTTTTGTGTGCAGCCTTTTCTTCATCTGTTGCATCTTCTTCAAGCGGTGTTACTTCTTCTTTCACAAGATTCCAAAGATCTTGATAACAGAAAACAACCATAATCTCTTCACACTAATTCTCATAATCCCGACCCTTAAGAATTGGGAGATTCACAAAAAAATGTCCATTCAGGTGATTCATTACCATCGTATTTTACTTCCCACAAATTGCTCTGTCAGTGCTTTAGATACTAGATGTTGAAATTACACCAAACTTATGGAGAATTTCAAATCAATCTTGATGAACAAGATTCAAACAACCGATCAAACTCTCTCTCTCTCTCTCTCTCTCTCTCTCTCTCTCTCTTGTTCCTCACTCTTCACTTGAGTGAATCAATCAACCTTGGTTGTAAAATGATTCTTCTACACAATTGTTAATGGAAGAAGAAAAATAAAAGATGAATTGGGAAGAAAGAGAATCATGGTTTGAACAAAGGAAGAAGAAAATTTCTGCAAAACTAAAACTTTATTCTTTACAACTGCAAGTTTTTGTGTATATTACAACAATAAGGGTTACTCCCTATTTATAGATTTTGATTTGCTTCCTCTATAAGCCAAAACTCAAAATACAAAGTCCAAAATACCTAATTTTGTTAACTACAAAATATGTCTAAGTCGAAATTATGTCGAGATAACTTCTTCGACAATTCAACACAACACACTATACTAATCGACACAATCTTATTTCTATCGAGTAACATGTTTCAACACAAGAAATTACAATCTCAACATCATCCTTAAATTTTATGTAATTCATCTCTCAAGTCTCTTAATCTTACTTTTTCTCTAAATTAAAAAAAAAAATGCAACCCATTAAGAGTAGGATCAATAGAGAGGGATGGTAAAAGAAAAAAAAAAGGGAATGACAGATCTAATTTTTTTTCTGATTTCTCACCCGAAGAGTTTTTTCACATACATTCTTCTTCGATACCAAAAGTTACATTCTTCACCTGAGTGAAAAAAGCACTAATATTCGAGTTGACTTTTCTACACTCTCAAAAGCCAACAAAACGACAAAACAAATCAACGAGTGGGGCGCGTTTCTTTCTTTACATGTTCACAACCCCTATTCGTGAAACCCAATTCACATTTCCTCTTTTCGTAAACGGTACTGCGTTTTCTCTCTCTCATTTTTCACTGCAAAGTTAGGGTTTATTTGTGCTCTCAATTTTCATTTCAATTCTTTTATTTTATTTTATTGTTCTTGTGTTCCTCCCTTTTCTCGCACTGTTTAATGGTTATTGTTATTGATCTTTTGTTGAAATTTGCATGATAATTGTACTACTATATAATTGGAATGATCATGAATAAGGAAATAGGTTTTTATTTTGTAACTGTATGAAGACTTAAGTTGGTTCTAATGTGAAATATATTGGTAAGTACTAATTTTGTACTTGTGATTGCAGCAATGATGGTTAAAATTTGGTGGATTTTGATCCTCATTTGATCTTAAGTAACCGAATCGAATCGAAGAGAATGGGAGTGTTGCTGGTAGGTTTGGTTAAATAACTGAAGGGAACTGCTTGAAAAATGGGAGGTTGCTGTTGTTCTGCCAGAAAAACGCATCTGCATGGAACTCCGGTGTATTACTATGTTAGTGATTTCCTATCCCCTCTTATCTGATTTGTAGATTATGGTAGCTAATAAGCATCTAGCTAGTAATGTTACTACTAGTTTATGTCATGATGAGACACTGTCACATAGACGCCAATAATAATTTGAGAACGTGAAAGTTATTGAATGTAGATGTATATGTTGGTGTCTAGTCGGTGTCAGGCACGGAATACGTCTTCAATCTAAAGTGCCAGTACTCCATACTTATGAACCCTTTGAACATGCCGAATAAAAATAGATATATGATGGAAGATAGTGCACATATTGATTCTAATTGAATATTGACTGAACCCTTTCATGCATGTTGATGGTTTTTTGGCAAGTGAATCAAAAGTTCATCATGTATAATTTGTTAAGATCATCTCTACAAAGATTGTTATAATTCCTAATAAAGGCACTAGTAATTGTACTTGTTTTAGAACAAATGTAAATAGTAATAGGGGGTATGCAGAGCATATGCTGCAAAGTTGAGAATAATGTGTAAATTAAAGGTTTGGAAAATCAAATGAGAAAGGCAATTGAACCCCTTTCGAACTCTTTGCCTATTTTTGTGTGGTAATTCCGCTTTAAAATGTAATTGTTTTTTCTAATTATTATGATATCATAACAAAATAGTTACACTCGATTTCTTGGTATGTACCTCTCTTTGTCAATTGCAATTCCCTAACTTAGGCGAAGTCGCAATTGTCGGAGGTTTGAGAGATCATTAAAATACTTATCACAGCAAATAATACCCTACGTCTAGCGATATCTAAGGTTGAACGATTAAGTTGGTTCCAATTGCATCAGATAGTGTTAGTATTCGAACACAATTCGGACTCAATTGGATTATTTGTCAATAATACAAAGCATTACGCACAAATTTTGTTGAATAAGCACAAGGTTCACAATTACAATAATCAAAAGTCAGCCAATTACATAAGTCACACAATTGTAGATCAAACTCATCTACTCATGTTACACGAAATCATAACAACAGAGATGCGATAAAGATCAAATAACATTACAATTAAAGGGTGTGACTCCAATGACAATGGATCTTCAATTTTCAGCTCCTAACACTCCAAAGTAGTCTTTCTTTAGTAAAAATTCGGACCCCTGACAACTGATCACATTTTCATATTAATAGAAAATTTTGGGATCACGCAATCTCGCCGCACCATGCATCAGGTGTGGTGCATTCCCTAGTTTTTTTCCTACGTGGCCCTCATCAGATTCCCGTAGCACCCCCACGTTGATTTGCTTGGTGCGGCACATTTTTCATGTAACTTGCAAGGAATATTAGCTTCATGAAACATAGCGAGAATTTACTGATTTCTTCAGAGCTATTATTTCCTTCCAATCCTTGTGTCTAAATTCTGCTTCATTCTTGTCACCATAACTTCTACCATGAAAACATGGAGAATTTGTCTAGGAATCGAGCTTTTCTACAATGCTTTGAATTCTGATTAAAAAACTAAAGAAAAAGCACAAACTATTATTAGAAAAAACAATTTAAAATAATGTAAAACTTGCTAAAAATCATGCAATGACTGAATGTCGTCAAATGTCACACTCTAGTGTTAAGTCGTAAAGTTGTATGTGTTTATGACACTTAAGTATCAAAATTGAGTAACTTGCCTGTAAAGTCATTTCAGTGTAAAGTTGGTAGACTCAGCTTAAAATTGTGAGTTTGAGGATGATCAAACCAGTCAAAACAGAATGATTATATTTCCCTAGAATGCCTAAATTGACAGTGGTTCCTTGTTATTTAAAAAACACCCAAAATGCAATTGCTGAATGATAAGGTTATGTAATGCTCCAAATACCAACCTCATAGTCGCATCGCATAGCTCAGCCGCTCAAACTCGATGGATGCATGTAACATCTCACTGTGAACCCAAACCCAACTTTGAAAGAGGCCAAAAATGATTTAAAGGGTTTGAAAGCCATTGCTCTCAGCATAAATGAACTCACAAACTATAAAATATGAAAAGAAAAAACCTTTGTTACAAGTTTACTAAGAACCCAGCAGGTCAACAAGGTGAGTCACCCAACTTAATTGGGATGCTTGTTTGTGTATTCTTGTCTGATCTTGTTATAAGCTTCATCCATAAAACTTATATTCTGAAACTATACCAAATTGCAGAAAACTTGTAGGTTCTCTGAATCAAATAATAGCAATCAAGTCACCCAAGAATGCCTTGCCGATCCCCATGTTTTTTAATCTAAGATCCCACAAGTTTACACAGACTCTTGAAATTGACAACTTGGTATGTTTGTAATAAAAAAGAAACAATGGAAGGGCTCCATACTGTGTTTGCCTATAAGTTTCATTTGTTAACATATATTCTGAAACCATCCCAAATTGCAAAGCGCTTCTCTGGCCCTAGCACTAAATGGTTGATGTCATTGAAGAATGCTTTGCTCTCACTCGACCCCCATGTTTTATGCAAATCTCTATTGCGAGTTACTAAAAAAACAAAAGCACCTATTAATCATTCCATAAAACACATTCATAAACTCCAAGAAAAAAGTTATCTATGGAAAGATGATTAAACTTAATTATGAAAATTGCTGAATGTTGAATGTTAATTCAGTTTGAGGTTTTATGTTGTAAGTTTCCCTTTTCAGCAAAAACAAGTAGTAACCAATTTACCTAATAAACACAAAGGAAAAAACCAAAGTCACCATAATAATTCAAGTTCAATGAAGTAAATTTGTTTCTCCTGCTATCTTGATTTTTTACTTTCTAACAGTCTCGCTCATCTATGCTTGTATAATTGTCATAAGTTATGACTTATGTTTACTTAAAGGAAAATTCAAATTATTTCATAGACAACTTGCTGTTTGAAGCTGTCAAAATACTAATTGCTATTGCAACTTAACCATGTTAACAGATCTGACCTATGAAATATTTCATTTCCAAAAAAAAACACTATTTTCATATTATAGATGAAACGGATGAGTTTTAATCTGAACATCTTCGTTATTCCATTGAAACTTGAAATTCTAATGCTATGAAGTGCTTGTCAAAAGATGTTGTTGTTAATAAAGAGATTTCTAAAAAACTGGATGTAATTTATTTATCGAAGCCTTAAAAATCGATTTTGTCCTATAAATGCCAAGGTGGATCTGTGTTCGAGAGCATACTCCATTTTCAAAAGAAATCATACTGTTAGCACTGTTGTATTTGTGTAAGGGCTGTGGTTGTAAACTTTAAATTCAAGCTTGCACAAAAATTGCTGCAACTCTCTCCACTTCTATTTTCATTTTCCTTTGTTTTTATCTTCACGTATTTTCACCAACTGCTGAAATGAAAATCTATAGTTAAATATGAAAAATTATAAGATTACTCCTGGAAGGAGCAATCTAGAAAGAAGAACCTTGGAGTTGTCACTTAATTGAAAGATAAAAAAGTTTCCCAAGTAATCATTGCTTGAACGGATCAGAGTGATGGAAAAAAGCTTAAAATAAATGTTCAGTCCCTTTTTAACAATTTTCCGTTGAGTCTTATATTGTTTGTTTTAAGTTTGAACTTCTTACAATTTTTTCGTAATGGCAAGAAAGTGAAATAAAATCCATAACTGGCTTCCTAGTTCCTATTGTAATTTATGTGGTTGGACTTGGCTTTTTGTTAATAGTATACTTAGAAGAATGAGGTCAAGGGAGCAACTTCATTGTCGTGTGGCAATTTGCCAAGATTTCTTGGGAGCTAAAATAATTGTTATTATAATTCTTTCCATATTACCAATGCTTTCTCCTCTCTTACACGAGTAAAACCAAACTCTTCAGCATTTTCGCCGTACATGTGTGTTTCCAAGGGCATGCTAGATTAGAAGGTGGCTAAGTTGTAGTTTGACATGATTGGCTTCATTTTTCTTTTAAAAAACAAGTGCTTCTTGAAAAATAATTTGTCAACAGGTTTATCATTTTAGATGGCAGTTTATTCATTATGAACATATTATACTGAAGCATGAAAAACTCTTTCAGTGCCCACCAATTTTAGAAGAGCGCGATTCCTTAACCTCTAATGATGGTCCAACCGATTCTCTCACTGCTGGATTGCTGGTTGGCTTGAATGTGGAAGAATCCACACCTGATACTTACCAGCCTCCTCCTGCACCACTGCCTTATGATACAGTCTTGGGTGGTCCAGCATCGACAGACTCCAAGTCAGGCAGAGACACAGTTAGTGGTAGTAGTATTAAAACTGCAGTTACATGTGAAGATATTGAAGAATCTGACTCTAAAGCTCATGTTAAATCTGAACCATTATCCCCTAACAAGGCAGAACTGTGTAAATCAAATAAACCTCAAGCACTGGTAATAGAAGAAGAGGATGGCTGTCCAATCTGCCTTGAAGGTGAGTAGAATTTTTTGTTAAGCTTAGATGTTTCATGTTTCATATAAGTATTGTCAAATACTTATATATGATATATCGCTACTATAACGTAGCAGAATTTGAACAAAGTGCTTTCGTTCTGCGGTACACAATTTTGTTCAAATTATTTTCAAATAGCAGCTATATAGGCACTATACCATAGATAATTTGAACAAATATGCTATTTTCTACTATCCGCGATTGACAACACAATTTCATACGAGTTAAAAGAACTAATAAGTTCCGACTCCCACTGGACACTAATTTGGATTTTTGAAGTACAGAATATGATGTTGAGAATCCTAAGACTCTTACAAAATGTGAACACCACTTTCACCTGGCTTGCATTCTTGAGTGGATGGAAAGAAGTGACTCCTGTCCTATATGTGACCAGGTTTGTCATTTTACATCAATTTTTCTTGTTAACTTTTTCATGTTTTAGTCTAAACTAAACCTAACTTCTCTTGTTTTGGTATCTGTTTAACTTTTTTCATACTATATTAGTAGTGCAATCTTAAATATGATGTATCTACATAATTTTTTTAATCATTATCTCATTGTATTGTTTTAATATAAAAAACGTAGTGTTTGAAAATGAAGTTAAGTTATTTTTTGGGTTTTATAAAATAAGTTTCTTAATTTTTTAAAATGTATGTCTGACTGAACCAAACCAAACCAGCTCTTTCTTCATCGGCTTGGTTTTGTTTTCATGTGAAAATTTGCAAAAAACTAACCAAATTAAACCAATTATTTATAATTGGGTTGGATTTTTTTTCTCGGAAAAATTGAAAACGCAACTCTATTACACCTTAGAAAAGAGGGTGTTTTTTTGGCTTCTTTTGTTTGCCAACAAACTCCAGCAGTCTCTGCTACATATGAATTATTGGTAATTGTGGACCATAAAATACGATCTGTTTGACCATTCTGTTGAGCGATAATGAAATACTCTTTTTCTTCTAATGTTACAGGAAATGATATTTGATGAGGAACTTGACTAGTTTGGTCATTTCAAAAGAAAATCTAGCTAAATACTAGAAGAAAAACTGGTTTGATGATGGTATTGAATATTGATTTTAGTGGGCCAAATTCCTTATTTATACATTCTGTGAGAAAGAGGCTACACCACATTACTTGTCTCACTGATTACAGTTAAAAAGTGCTGCATGTCTCAAAACAAAGAAATCCATATTCACATAACAGCTTTTTTTCTTTCCTTGTGTTGCTTTTCTGCTCTCCATTTTCTTGTACAAATAAGCTCATATTTCTTTGTTTTTCTATATTATTTTCTACCTGGAGAATAACAAATATTTACTGTTGTTGTAAATAATATCTGCAATTTACATTTTGTTACATTTTCAATGTATCTATTCTGCTGGATATGTTCAGTAATAATGACCTGTATGCATTTTAATTCTTTTAATATTTTCCATGATGCTATAGAATCTGTGTGCACGTGTACGCAGTTTGGCCTAGTCTCAACAAACTGCATGTGAGTCAGTGAATTAAACCAACAACACAATCAGTTTCAACAGATTCTATAATTAATATCTCCCTACCCTACTTTCCTTATTGAAACAATGATTTATCAATTCAAAGCCATGTAATGTTTCCTTTTACTCCCCTCTTAAATTCTTGGCCAAGGAATCATGGAAACTTATGTTTAATTTTTCTAGGAAAGGGACTTGTCTACTCTGCATAGTATACATTGGTTGACTATATAAGCATATGGTAGAAGCACAGGTTATAAAAATAAGACAATTCTGCTATGCAAAAGAAATTCAAAATTTTACTACTAATGAGAATTCCCTTACAATCATATACAACAACTAATTCAGTGACATTAGTATTACAAAAACCGACTAGGTCCACCACACCTAATTTGCAATCCATTTCAACAATGACCTTCCAAGATGACAGGTTGCTAGACACACTGTAAGGCGTACCTGAGGCCAACTGCTTCACCAATCAAAACCAATTTTGGTTATTGATATTTTCTCAATCCATCCTTTAAAATACTAAAGTTGAAAACTAAACACAACTATAATTTTGATTAATTTTGATTAAATGGGATCACTTACATAAATCACCTGTCGTCTTAACGTTTCTAATTTTGATTAAATGGGATCACTTACATAAATCACCTGTCGTCTTAACATTTCTCTTTAAATCATTAATTAAATCTTTTTTAATAACATCTCTTATAATTTTTTTAGGTCTTTTTCTAACTCTTCGATTCCTTTTCATACGATCTATTCTCTTTATTACAAAATTTTCATGTCCTATACATGCTCAAACCACTTAAGTCTATTTTCTACAAATTTTTATATTATACATGTTACCCCAACATTCTTTTTAATATTGTCATTTTTAATCTTATTATATCTAAAAATTCTTTTTAATATTGTCATTTTTAATCTTATTATATCTAAAATTATCACAAATTCAACGCAATATCACAAACTCTACTACACTGATTCTATTCATGCGTTAACCAATCAACCTTAGAATAAAATGAAATTTTATAAATTTATTTCCCCCTTAAATCCAAACCAATGAGAACACCCATCCCTACTTAACCAACAATAATACAACGAAAAATTCCACACTTTTGGTATCACCTAGAGGTTTCAAATAGCCTGCCAGAGATTCTTAATTTATATATATATATATATATATATATATATATATATATATATATATATATATATATATATATATATATATATATATATATATATATATATATATATATATATATATATATATATATATATATATATATATATATATATATATATATATATATATATATATATATATATATATATATATATATATATATATATATATATATATATATATATATATATATATATATATATATATATATATATATATATATATATATATATATATATATATATATATATATATATATATATATATATAATCTTTGTTTGGATCAGTATTAACAATTGAGAATATAATTTATTTATTATTATATAGATAATTAAGAGTATCTTTTACACTCTCATCCATTAGAAGACTAGTAATTTGTCATATGTTTTACACTCATTCATAAATTTTGATATTATTTCAATCTAATGGTTAGAAATGACTAGTTAGTGACTCATGATTCTTATTTAAAATAGTTTTCATATATTTTTGAGAATAAATAATTTTTATTTTATCATATCTTACTTTCTTCTTCTCATAAAATTAAATAAATCTCTACCACTTTTTTTAACAAATAAATAACTCTAATTTTTCAAAAAAAAAAGGATTCTAAATATTTCTTTAAAAAAATCAGGATTTTTAATAAAAAAATAACTTCTTCTTTAAAACAAATGTCATTTTTTTTAACTTTCTTTAAATAAAATCATATTAAATTATTTAAAGTAAATAATAAAATTGTTTCAATTTTAAATAAATACAAAATAATGCTCAAAATGTGTATAAAAAATAAATAATGAATAATGAATAATGAGTACATAACAAATGTAATTGAGAATAAATAATATCAAAAACAATATTCAAATTTAAATTTATTTAAAAATATTAAAAATGATAGAAAATTTATCAATTTTATTATTCAATGTATAAATATTTTTTCGGGTTAATCATGACTCAATATTTGTTTTATTTATGTTTTTTATATAGTTTTTATATGATTTTGAATGCTATTTAAAAATATATCAATTATATAGTGAATTTAAATAAATATAATATAATTTTATTTAAAACAAAAATTGTAAAATTTGTCTAAAGTTCGGAAGAATTCTATATTTGTATTGAATTTTTTTTTCGTTATTAATAAATCTTAAAAATAATAAATTTTTAAGAAATATTGATAAGAATAAGTGAATAGAAAATAATTTTATTTTATTATAAAAATTGTGATTTTTTTAAAATTAAGAGTAAACATTATTTTATGAAAAATAACTTTTGTTATTAAGAAACATTGAAAATCACGTATTTTTAAGAAATAATAAAAACATCACGTGATTTTTATTAATATTTGTTATAACATATTTTTTTAAATATTTCTTAATAAAAATGTAAAATTTAAATTATAGAAACGTTTTTTTTTAAATTTTAAACAGATTTCAATATTTTTGTAAGATATGATATATTTTATTCACACCTAAATTATTATGTACTAATTATTCATTATTTAGTTTTTTTGTTGTTGTATTTTTTATACACATTTTGAGTATTATTTTGTATTGTATTTAAAAAAATATATTTTTTATTATTTATATTAAGTGAATAGAATTTGATTTAATTTATAAAAATTAATAAAATGTACAATTTTTTTAAAAATAAGAAGAGACTTTTTTAAACTTTGAATCATGTTTTTTTTAAAGAAATATTTAGAATGATGTTTTTTTAACTTTATTTAATTGTTATAAAAAGTATGAGAAATCTATTTTATTTTATGAGAAGATGAAATTATGATTTAATAAAGAGAAAATGATTTATTACTAAAAATAGGAGAAAATTATTTTTAGTAATAATAATTAGTCACTAAATGGTTATTCTTAATCATTAGATTAACATAATATTTTAAATGAGTGTAACTATTAGTCATAGAAAAAAAATACAAATAAAAGTCACAAGAGGTATCAAGTTCTTCCCTCAAAACAAATGAAAATAGAAAGAAAAAAACAAAGGACTAAACAATTCACAAAATACAACAATAGGTCTCAGCAACAAAATAGAATAACCAACTGGCAACAGACTATTAGAAAATAACAACTAACCAAAACATCAACACCACAAAGAAAAAAACAAGTTAGATCGCAATACTAAGAACCACTATCAACAAGAATAAAATTCTTCAAAGGCATGAGTGAGTCAAAGATCTACCAAGATACTATTTTCAAATAAATAAAATGTTTTGTCTTCCAAATCCTTCACGTTAGTAGGCATATATAAAAAAACAACATCATTCCATGTTTCAAACTATACCGTATTATCAAGTGTAAAATCATTGTAAGACCCTCTCCTATCTTAGGCAACCCTCTTACGGAAATGAAAATATTGGAGAGCGATAGAAGATTCTTAGGTAGAATAAAAGACCATTCCAACCACCTAAAAATTTCTATTATACAATAATCCCACCATCTCATAAATAACAAATAAATGGGAAGTCGACTCTAAAGACTCTCTACACAAACCACAAGAACACTTATCAAGTTTAGTAGAACACTACACTTAAACAAGTTCTCTCTAATATGAATCTTGTTTTGGAAGAGCTACCAAAAAAAAACAACCACTTTAAAAAATGTTTACCTAATCCAAATCAAATGAAAAAACAAAATACACTATATACGAAGAAAACCCAAAACCCATACTAGTCTTAAGGAGGATATTATGAGTTGAAGCAACCAAGTACACATCATTCTTTCCGTGCCTCCACCACCAAAGGTCATTGCCCATCTTATAAGCACAACTTATAAAATGATTTCCCATCTTATAAAAATAACTTATAATACATTAGTTAATTATTTCATCAATATTGATACGAATCTGTAAGAGTGTTTTGATTTGTATGCCATGAATTATGTTGTGGTTATTTGTTATGATAGTTTTGATTGTGTGACATGATATACATGATGATAATGATGACGATGGCCTGTAATTGACGAAATTGTGATGAGTAATAATGATAAATGTGAATTATGTTTTTGCATGATATTGTCTCATGCATTCATAAAGCGAAGACCTGTATTGGCGAGCGAAGACCTGTATTGGCGAGCGAAGTTGATTGCTCTAAATTGACACTATTGCGAATAGGGTTTTATCCTGTTGGTACCACATGCATTACATTAGTGTCAGTCCTTTGCATCATATTGTGATTGAAAAACCGATGGGTGAAGATTGATGAAAGTGTGTATTATATTACGATGTATGTTATGTGCTGATTATGTGCTTGAATCTTACCTGCTTATTATTATTATGCTTTCTCTTATATTGTTATGATATTTCACCCTTT